ATGTAATTTCTTTAATTTATTTTTTTATTATAATTTAATTTAAGTTTAATAATGAAATAATTTTTTTGGTTTAATATTATAAATTTTATAAAGGTAATAATTAAGTATTTTGTTAGTATTTAATGATTATTCTAATTATATTTTAGATTTTTTATATTTAAAATGAGATGTTTATCCTGTATTTGATTATGTTTATCTGCAGTTTGTTACACGAATTTAAATATGGAGCTTTAATAAGTTGTATTTACGCACAATCTACTTGCAATCTTGAATTTTAAGTAATATGCATTAATAAATAGTACTTTATGCATAAAAAGTGGTTTTTAAGAGTTTTTTGTCAAATGCTTTATAATATAGTATAGATATACACACATATATGGAGGTTTGGTGAAAAATCCCACAAAAAATGAAAAACTGAGTAGCACTCTGATAACCATTAATTTGTATGCACATGTACATACAAGTAATTGAAATTGTTTCTTAGTTTTTTATGCACTTGTGCATGCCAGAGAAATTGCTAATAAATTTCTTGTATGTACATGTGCATACTTCCAGATGAACGATTACCAAAGTTTGAGGCTCACATTGTTTTCGAATTTTCGCAAAACAGAGAGATTCTCGTTCGAACTCCCGCATATATATATATATATATATCCATTTTCGCATTTTTGAAAACAGAGAGATTCTCGTTTGAACTCGTGCCTATATATATATGTATGTCTATATACAGTGCGGTTTGAACTGCATTTTGATAATTCAAGACCCCAAACCGCACCGCATAGTGCAGTTTGATAAAAATGTAAGCTGCAATCACACTGTGAAAGTTCTAAACCACAATTTACGGTGCGATGCGGACGATGTGTACAATTTGATGGTTTGGATAAACACCCCTAAACCAAATATATGGAGGTTTAGGGAAAACCCCACATAAAATGAAAAATGGAAGAGCACTCTGATAACCATTAATTTGTATGCACATGTGCATACAAGTAATTGAAGTCATTTATTGGTTTTTATGCACCTGTGCATGTCATGCATATGAGCATACCAGACAAATTGCTTATAAATTTCTTGTATACACATGTACATACTGTCCAGATGAATGATTAACAAAGTTTGAGGCTCCCAATTGTTTTCGCATTTTCACAAAACAAAGAGGTTCTCGTTTGAACTCCTGCCTATATATATATATATATATATATATATATATATATATATATAATTATATACAGTGCGGTTTGAACTGCATTTTGATAATTCAAGACCCCAAACCGCACTGCACAATGGAGTTTGGTAAAAATGTAAACTGCAAACCGCATTGTGAAAGTTCTAAACCGCACTTTACGGTGCGATGTGGACAGTATGTGCAATTTGATGGTTTGAATAAACATCCCTAAATTAAATATAAGATTGAAATAAAATTGAATTACAGATCAAATCTTGCAAACTAAACGGAACCATAGATTGTTGAATCAAATAAAGATTGAGAGGTGTAAGTTAGTTGAAAAAAGTAGTAATGAGTAGGGTTCAAGGATAGTACAACTTCATAAACATCAAAATCTTTGATAAATCTTTAGGTAGGACTCATCTCAAATTAATTGAAGTTTTTAAAAACAATTGCATACAAGTAGTATGAGGATGGGATATATATATATATATATATATATATATATATATATATATATAACCATAATCTTTCAAACCACTTCTTATCGAGTCTAAACATATTAGATGTGGACATTTAGATAAGAAATGGTAAAATAGATCGAACCTCACCAGACCACATAAAGATTAGTCCATGGCGTTATCAATTTGGACCAAGCTTGATAATTTAGACCAGATTTTTTAGTCGAACCGAATAAATACTAGTATTTTTTTAGAATTAAATATAAACCAGACTGATTCTTTTCAAAATCACATAAAGACTTGATTTTTTTATTTTTTATTCTTTTAAACCCATTAATTTCTTGTTCTTGAAAAAGATTATAATGCCAAACGTTTTTGTTCGAACTGGACAAGACTACCATGTCGTCAGTCTCGCTTCGGTCTTTATCTTGCGAGATTTAGACCGGTTTAGGTTTTTCCTTGGACTGCATTAGCTCATCTTTGACCAATTGAAGCTTTTTTTAATCAGATCTTGTGCAACTCTAAAGCATAGTATTTAGATTTTAGTCACCCATCTACATATTTGGACTCTTAGTTCTTAATTACATATTACTAAGGGTAAAAGTGTTTTTTGATTGATAAAAAATTGTAGTAGTTACATATTTTTAAAACTGTATGACATTTTCATCGTGAACATTTATTTGTGAAGAAAAAAATATTATTTTATATAATAAATATTTAAATTTTTGTTAACATAATAAATTTATTAAATATTTTTATACCGTAATTGATGATGAAAATTTTAGAATAAAGAAACAATTAAAATTAGGCTGTAATATTATTTTAAATTATAATATTTACATGTTTGATATTGTTTGGTAAATATAAGTTAGTTTATTTTTTTGGATATACACTTGGATGAACATAAACTAACTTATTAAAACGATTATTAAAATAACTTATAAAGAGATTTTTGGCATTTTTTTCAATTATAATGCTTATTAGTATTAACTATCATTTATTT